GTCCATGTTAAGTGCTAATGAGAGTCGCATACAAGTGTTGGGCTAGAATAGCTTGGGCTATCCTAAACATGGGCATGTGAGAATGCGCAACTATCACATATTTCAGTTTAGAATTGAAAGTACAAATGCAGTTAGGTGGGATCTGTTACCTGGAGCCTAATGCATGGTTTAGTCAAATGCATGAATGCACGCATTGCATAGGCATAAGAGAGCTAATTTAAACGTGCCCTAATCTGACCATCATAAGCAGGTAAATAAGAGGAAGAAAGGTTTGAGGTTGGAAGACATACACACGTTATTCACGCACACTTATTACAGATTTGGCCCTCGGCCGGAGGGAAATAAATATTTACAATTAATAACTTACGCAAGCTAATTAATACTTACCAAATTAATTATTTACATTACAAGTTAAATAAATTAACTAAAAACAGAAATAAATCCCTTGCGGGGAAACGCGCCGCCAGCATAGGCCTGCCTCTGTTTTTCTTCCTTCACCTCTGGAGGCTGTCAAACCGTCAGATTGCATTCGCCTGGGACACTGGGGAGTACTCACGTGCTGAGTGGAATTAACCACCGGCAGTTGTGTGTGGCCAATGGCACAAAATGAAGCTATCGGCAGAGAAAATATGCCGGGTGCCGTTGGCACTTTAACAACTGGCCGGTCGGTCAGGTGTTCCTGCAGAATCTGCAAATGACAGCAACAGGGGCAAAGACACAGCATGGGCAGCACAATCAAGGGCATGTATGCACCAACCGGTCCTTATCATTAGATAATTGACTCAAAGGGAGGCATGTGCCTCGATTCCAGACCACCAATCACGCATTTCATGCATAGGATGGCCCAAAAGAACCTAAGTATGCAAACCTTTGATTTCAAATGCAATGCAAATCCAATCAAACAAACACGGCCCAATTCTATACATCAGTCAAGAACAAGGCAGTGCCATGGCAAGATGCAATGCAACCTAAGCATGCAAGCTAAGGATGCAAACATTGGATGGCAAACATAACTTAGTGGCAGCATACAAGCATACATATGGGCAATGTAAAAACTAATTGCTAAGCGTGGTCTTCATACCATGAATTAGGCAAGCTCTAATTAAGGCCCAAAACAGATAAAGCCATAATGACCCAAAAATGGATGACCCAAAACACATGCAACACATTTACACATGTGGAAGGCCAAATTAGCCATGAATTGAACAACCCTCAAACACATTTTGAAAGGGGGAATTCATGGAACTAATTAGCATGATAAACATGAGCATTGAAATCATGCTAAAGACATGGTGCCAAACAAAGCATAAATCAGCACAAACATGCCGATAAATAGTCTAAGTGTTTCAAGCAATCAAAGAGCATTGAACTACGACTGAAAGACAAACATGGCATGAACTCATTGATCAAAACAGAGTTTTGGGATTAATACAAGGCCTAAGGACGATTAGAATGGCATCCAAGATGGGACCCAAAAACAAAGGCAGCACAAATGGTTCAAAACATGGAGCATGCAACAATGCTTTCAAGCATCAACGAGGCATGCAAAGGCAATCAACGGCAAGCATGAAAATGGGACTTGAAATAGGCATGTAGGGTGGTTTCCAAATCACCAAAACAATGCAAAGGTGCGCATGCTATACATATGCACATACCTAAGGCAACAAGCCAAAATAACAAGGGGCTATATCGGATGCATGCCAGAAATTCGCACCCATATGGGCAACCTAGGACAAGACCTAGAACATGGCAAAACATGCACAAAAATCTTCACAAGGACTAGCCATAAAAACATTGCTCCACAACAAGGCTAACACACTAAGAACATTGTTAAAGCATAACAAGGCATTACAAGGCAACTATGCTAAGCATGCATGGAGCTACCAACACCCAACTTAAAATCATGTTATATATTATGATATAAAAGCATGAAAAACAACCTAAACATGCTCAACACACACGACTTCAAGCATTAATGCATCTCTAAGAGCGGCGCAAAACATCCTTTTTTCAAGGGACGAACAGGAAAGGGTGGCCCTCTCCTTTCTTGGGACTTCAAGCCATCATTACTCACCACTGAATTAATTCCTCTCAAGATTCAGTGGTGAAAGAGACCCAACACAAAACGCCGAAGCTAGCACAAAATGCCCCAAAATGAGGCCTTTCCTAAGGCCTAAGGGGGTCAACACCCTCAACAGCAACAAAACACTCCTTTAATAAACAATAAAGAGGCTAAAAACAGAAAACTTTTTTATGTTATACAATAAGCACAAAAACAGCTCTAAGATAGGGTAGAAAATCAATGCCAGAAAATGGGAAATAAAGGTTGAAGTTTCTACCCTTGATGATCCTTACAAATTGGGCGCTCCAATTGGCCTCCTTTTAGCTGGATCCAACACCAAAACTTCAAAACCAGTCCCTTACGAAGCTTTCAAAGAGCCAACTTCCCTTTTATTTACCTGCTTATGATGGTAGATTAGGGCACATTTATTTTAGCATACCTTATGCTATGCATGTGTGCATCCATGCATTTGTATTGCATGCATTAGGCTCGGTACATCACGCTAACTGCATTTGTACTTCAATTCAAAAATTGACTATGTGATAGTTGATCGCATTTCATATGCCATGCTCTTAGGCCTTGAAAGGCCTCATTTTGGGCCATTTTGTGCTAGCTTCGGGATTTTGGTGTTGGGGTCTCTTCACCACTGAAATCTTGAGAGATTTCAGTGGTGAAGATGATGCCTTTGAAGTCCCAAGAAGGAGAGGGCCACCCCCTTTCCTTGTTGTCCTTGAAAAGGGCATGTTTTGGCCTCTTGAGAGAGCATTATGCTTGAGTGTGTGTTGAGCATGTTTAGGTTGTTTTTCATGCTTTTATATCCATAATATAACATGATTTTAAGTTGGTGTTGGTACTCCATGCATGCTTAGCATAGTTGCCTTGTAATGCCTTGTTATGCCTTAACATGTCTTAGGTTGTTAGCCTTTGTTGGAGCATGTTTTAGGCTTAGTCTTGTGAAGATTTTGTGCATGTTTTGCCATGTTCTAGGTCTGTCCTAGGTTGTTTGGGTCGAATTTGGCATGCATCATATAGCCCCTTTGCATTCCGGCTTGTTGGCCTTAAGTATGTGAATGTATAGCATGCTATCCTTGCATTGTTTTGGTGATTTGGGACCATCCACCATGCCATTTCAGACCTTATTGTATGCTTGAGAGCTCGCATTTGATGTCCCTTTAATGCCTTGTAAGGTTGTCATCTCATGCTCCATGTTTTGGTGTTTATGCATGCCTTTGTTTTTGGGTCATTTGGATGCCATCTAAGTGGTCCTTAGACCTTGTATTAATGTCCCAAAACTCTGTTTTTGGTCAATGAGTTCATGAAAATAGAATTTATGAATTTAAAACAGGACCCACTAAAATAGTGTTATCGGAGCAACAGATGTGGTAGTTTGTAAAATTTGTTAGTTTGAATAGCATAACTCTACCCCTTCTCTCTTTTTATTTTTGTCCGCTTAGTGAAAGGATAACATCTATCATTTTGGTTGTTGCAGGAGATGGAAAACATTATGCAACCTTCATATGTAGAAAAGAAAAACTCAAAAGGCAAAACACCTCGAGCTTTATTTACTAAGGAGCACAAAGACTTAGTTGAGAAAGGGGAGGCATGGATGAAGAACACCGCCTCCCAGTCTATGGTTGTTGCAACACTTATAGCAACCGTAATGTTTGCTGCAGCTTTTACTGTACCAGGCGGCAATGACAACAATACAGGAATCCCAATGTTTCGAAAGCATAGTTCCTTCATGGTTTTCGCAATATCAGATGCCATAGCATTAGTCACCTCTTCCACTTCAATACTCATGTTCTTATCTATACTCACCTCACGCTATGCTGAAAATGATTTCTTGGAATCATTGCCCATTAAGCTCATGATTGGACTCACGACACTCTTCATCTCCATAACTACCATGATGGTAGCTTTTGGTGCGACATTTTTCATTATTACAGTGAACAAAATTTTAAATAGAATAAGGCCTCACTGTCTGATCATTGAGATCAATTAATCTCAAGTTGATGCTAAGAGTCAAAATTTTAAGGCTTTAAAAATGGAGTACCAATGAATATGAAAGGTCTGTCCAAAAACAAAAAGAAATATGCAAGGTTGAAAACGCAGATGGTTCTAAAATACAAAAAAATAAAATATAAAATAAAATAAAATAAAAAATTAGGTGAACATTGTCTGAATTATACAAATTTTTTGCTGCATCATAATTAAGAGTACCACTTGAACTATTATATTATATTGGGGAACATCGAATAATTAGCCAGTCTTAGGCTCAATTAAAAATATATTTTAAACTTATGTCATGTAATTTTTCATCATTTAAAAGATGAAGTTATATGTATTAAATAATATATCAATTAATATATTACAGATTATGTGACATCATTTTAGAAGTTTTGGATTTTTGTAATTTGTATAATGGGAGTGGAATCGTAGTTTTGAAATGACAATCTAATTAGTACCTTAAGTAGTACATGTAGCACTACTATTATTTAAATTGCCCCTATACAACTATTCAGTTTTTTAATTTTTAATTTATTTTTTTTCCCCTTCCATCTATCTACCTTTCAATTTTTTATTCTACAAACACGTATGCGCACCGCACTGGTGGATCTATAAATATGTCAATAGTCTCTCTCCCAAGGCTAATGAATTTTTCTAAACCCTAAAACCAAGTGGCCGATGCGTTGATCAAGAATTAGCAGAAATCGAAGCCAAACACTTTGAATCCGAGTGATGTGACAATTTTTTGGGAGAAATCTAGGTAGTGTTTGGTAGTATTTTAAAATTATGATTTGAGAATAGAGTTATATTTTGAGTTTGTAAGTTTTGAAATTATGATTTGAAAAGAGAAAATTTGTTTGGTTATGAGTTTTGAAAAGAATTTTGAATTGAGTTTTGAAATTTTTAATGTGACATGAAATGAGAATTCGTTACAGCTTTCTTTGCATGGGTTCAAGTCCTTTGGTATTTGTCGTGCCCGAACGACTTTTGGTAGGTTTCATCTTAGGCCGCATCGTCATGCGCACCTTACATGCATTGTCATGCATGGTCCTTGTCACACATCATCATGCGTACCTCACACGCATTTGTCATGCATTTCAAAGAGAACATGCGTTGTCGCGCATTTGAGTCCCCTTGCATCGTCATGCATATTCCAGTTGCATTGTCATGCATTTTCTCTATCATGCATTGTCATGCTTATCATACTTGCATTATTATGCACCTCTAGCGGTCTGGCGAGACCTTAAATACGCTCGGTCTAGGAGACCTTAAATCCTCTGAAGGTGCAAGTCCTTTGGTATTTGTCGTGCCCAAATGACTCTTGGCAAATTTTATCTTAGGTGGCATTGTCATACATCCCTCACTCGCATTGTTATGCACACACCTTGTGCATTGTAGCGCATATCATGCTCGCATTATTATGCATCTTCTTTAGGCCGCATCGTCATGCGCAACTTACATGCATCGTCATGCATCTTCCTTACCATGTGTTGTCGCGCATTCAAGATCATGTGCACTGTCATGCATCTCAAAAGCCACACGTTGTCGCACATTTCAAATTCATTTTGCATTGTTGTACATTTCAAAAGACGCGCGTTGTCGCGCATTCAAAATCATGCGCATTGTCATGCGTCTTAAAGACGTGCGTCGTCACGCACTCGTTTCATTTGCATTATCATGCACGTTTCATGCATTACAAAAAAAAAACAAAACAAAACAAAAACAAAAAAAATAAACATGCATTATCATGCATTCTTCGTTTCATTCGCATTATCATGCATTTCAAAAAAAACGAAAACAAAAAAAAACAACACAAAAACATGCATTATCATGCATTTTTCCTCCATTTGCATTTTCATGCATTTTTCAAAAAAAAAAAAACAAAAAAACCAACATGCATATGTCATGCATTCCATTGTAAATAGTGCATATGTCATGCATCACGGTAAATATTACATTTGCATCCATTGCATAATGTAAATATTGCATTGTAGCCTGCATGAATTCACTGCATCACATCCATCTATGGCTTGCGCCTTTCCATGTTGAGCTTGGTTTGGTATGTGCCCATATTTTTCACGTCGAAGCACAGTTATGATATTATGTGTACGCACCTATTCCACTGCTGGTATTGTGGTTTGAGGGTGACGGCACCATTTCTGTGTTAGACGCGATTTGTACGTGTCCATGCCTTTCCTAGGCAAGATACGGTTTGGTCGTAGGCCTTATCCGCTGCATCCATTGCGTATTGTAAATATTGCATTGTAGCTTGCATGCATTACTGTATCACATCCATCTTTAGCTTGTGCCTTTCCATGTTGAGCTTGGTTTGGTATGTGCCCATATTTTTCACGTCGAAGCACAGTTATGATATTATGTATACGCGCCTATTCCACTGCTGGTATTGTGGTTTGAGGGTGACGGCACCATTTCTATGTTAGACGCGGTTTGCATGTGTCCATGCCTTTCCTAGGCCTTATCCGCTGCATCCATTGCATATTGTAAATATTGCATTGTAGCTTGCATGCATTCACTGCATCACATCCATCTATGGCTTGCGCCTTTCCATGTTGAGCTTGGTCTGGTATGTGCCCATATTTTTCACATCAAAGCACAGTTATGATATTATGCGTACGCGCCTATTCCACTGCTGGTATTGTGGTTTGAGGGTCATGGCACCGTTTCTGTGTTTAGACGCGGTTTGTATGTGTCCATGCCTTTTTTAGGCAAGATATGTTTTGGCTGCATGCCTTATCCATTGTATCTATTACATTGTAGTGTAATTTGTTGCATCCAGCATTTAGGATCATGGTCTTTCCTCAGCAGAGCATGCCTCACTTATATCATCTCACCCAATTACTTGTATCTTGTGTCCGTCTACACAACTCATAGTTCTACATGTGTACGCGCTTATTCCACTGCTGGTATTGTGGTTTAAGGGTGTCAGCACCTTTTCTATGGTAGACGGACTTTGCATCTCCATCATCTTTATGATATTTGTGTGGTTTTGAACCGCTTATGGTTTGATTATGTTTCAAATGCATTGCATATCATTTGCATTGTTCATACATAGTTTTGTAAATATTGCATATCATTTTGCGCATAGGTTACATTGTCATGCACTCCTACACTTGCGTTGTCACGCAGTCTTAACTTGCATTGTCATGCATGTTGCTAACAATATTGTACCTGTTAAGTTTCTCTCTTTTACAGGCACGATATTGTATGTACGGTTCATTTGAGGATGGCGCAACCAGACGAATCGGACAGGTATCATATTCTCTGCGTGAAACGTAGCGAGAATTACATAATTCTCTTACATCCTTTCTGCATTGTAATGTAGTTGGCTTTGTGTTTGATTGCTTAAAACTGTCGCATGTTATGCTTCGTTACAGCTTTCTTTGCATGATCATAAGTTATGCTCGGCTTTGTGCATGGTCAGTTGCATTTTGCCCCCGCCTTCGGACGCATATCTTTATTGTCTTGCATGTTTTGTCTGAGTCTTTGGCCTTGTCAAAAATGGGTCGTCTCTGGGCTTTAATACTCACTCCCGTCATTGTTATGACTTTTGAGTTCTGTCAAAGAGGGGCAACTGTAGACACCCCATTTTTGACCGTCCTCAAGACTTGGACGTCACCGTTTGAACACTCGGTGATCATCCATGACTGTGTTCGTTTGGAGTTCCCGGAGGCCTCGGCTCGCGCGCCTTGCCTCAGGATCCCCGAACTCGGCTGTTTAGTGTCTGGTTTTGCACCAAACACTTTTGTTTTGCCTTAGAGGGGCAGGGAATGCCTTGTGAGACATCCCCATACACCACCGGCAGTGGCTGGAGGCCACCGGCTGGTCTTTTTCTTCCATCGGCAATTTTGTTTGCCGGTCGGCACACTGTATTGCCGGTCGGCATAATATGTTGCCGGTCGGCACTGTTTTTTGCCGGAATAGCTTTTTTGGGCAGCCGACCACTGTTCCTCCACTTTTTGGAGATATTTTGTGCCAGCTGTGATAGCTGGCACCAACTCCTTTCCCCTCCATACACGTGTATGGAGGGATTTCCTTTGTGTTTGATTGCTTAAAACTGTCGCATGTTATGCTTCGTTACAGCTTTCTTTGCATGATCATAAGTTATGCTCGGCTTTGTGCATGGCCAGTTGCATTTTGCCCCCGCCTTCGGACGCATATCTTTATTGTCTTGCATGCTTTGTCTGAGTCTTTGGCCTTGTCAAAAATGGGTCGTCCCTGGGCTTTAATACTCACTCCCGTCATTGTTATGACTTTCGAGTTCTGTCAAAGAGGGGCAACTGTAGACACCCCATTTTTGACCGTCCTCACGACTTGGACGTCACCGTTTGAACACTCGGTGATCATCCATGTTTTTGTTCGTCTTGAGTTGTCGGAGGTCTCGGCCACACGCCTTGCCTCAAGATCTCTCGACTCGACTGTTTTGTGTTTGGTTTTGCACCAAACACTTGTGTTTTTGCTTTGGAGGGCAAGGAATGGCTTGTTGGCCATCCCCACACCTCACCGGCCATGGCTTGAGGCCACCGGCCACTGTTTTGTTGCCATCGGCCAAATGTTTGGCCGGTCAGCACTATTGATGGTCGGCCGACCATTGTTTTGGCTAATTTGGCATCTTTGGATGGCCGACCACTGTGCATCTGCTTTTGGAAGATATTTTGTGCCAGCTGTGATAGCTGGCACCCACTTTGCCCCCCTCCATACACGTGTATGTAGGGATTTCACTCTTGCTTAGCTTGTTTTGTAAGCTTTGCAAGAGTGATCCTCTATAAAGGGAGGCTTTCTCCTCCCTTCTCAAGGGTTAGAAGGTTGAGTTCCAGAGGTCTGGATTAGGGTTAGGGTTTGTGGATCACCTATCTCTATATCTCTCTCTCTTTTTGCCTTTGTGTGTGTATAAGTGTGTTTGTGTCTTACTTTTGTGCATAAACACCTAGTGCTACACCTTACCTTGGTTTCTGAGGTGCCAAAGGTTTGTTTTCA